CCCGAGTTGCGTGCCTGGTCTGTCCCTTACAAGCCAGAGTTGGGGACTGAATTTGCTTTCTGCACAGTTACCCAGTCCCCATGTGTTTCCCAGGTGTGCTCTCTCGTTGGAGCAGTGGAGAATTCTCCGTGCTCATCAGATTTAGTTGCTGGTGTAGAGCCTCAAAAATCCCCACCTGGTTTTCGAGGCCCTTCTTGCCCTGCCTTTGCCCACAGAGCATTGTTCTCAGCTGCCCCCAGGTCACCCTCCTTTCCAAGCCTGTTTTCCTGAGGTCCTCCATGCTTCCTTGCTCTGGAACGCTGATTACCATGCCCAGGGTTCTGATTAATTTTGTCCTTTTAAGATTTTATTTGAAGTCCATTACCTGCGTGAAATCTTCTGACCACCCCTCCCACTCGACTCCCTTCTTTTCTCAGGACTTGCAATTTATATCTCACAGGCTGAGACCTATTACGTATTCTTCTGTATGCTTTTATTTTAACCATTGGATCTGCAAGTCTGGTTTATTTTCCTTGTTTCCAGCCCGGTTTCTGGAGGGAAAGCAGTATATCTAATACTTTCAGCGCTGTATGTAGATAGTTAAGATTAAAAAACTGACTGCTGTGGAGTTTAGCAGAGAAGAAACATTTCTTACAGTCCTGTGAAACAGACATTATAGTAAACACATCGTGTTACTATAAATTCAGTAAGTCCTATGAAGGACAGAGAAGTGTGCTCTGAGAGCAGGAGGACATGGGATGGGACAGGGGTGATGTACATGTTGTTGAAAGTTTCAAGGGAAGCCTCTGAAGTGACATTTACACTGAGAGCTAAAAGAGTGATGGGCCTTAAACAGGTGACTGGGTAGGGGAAGATTATTCCAGGCAAGAGAACAGTGCAAGGGGAGACCTGAAGATGTGGAAGGAGTGTGGCTAGAATGCAGGGAGCATCTGGGAAGACCAGGGTGGGCCTGGCTCATTTGTGGCATTGAAGGCACCAGTAAAAAGTGTGGATTCACGCTGAGTTCAGTGGGAAGCTGCTGAAACAGTGAAACGGTATGATCTGAGGCACCCAGTATCCCCAGCACTGCTTTGTAGAGAGATTTGCAGAGACGTCGGATCTGTGCTTACAGTTTCACACTCTCCTCCACGTTTCCTTTTGTAACTGATACAAAATTGACCGTTGTTGTCCAACC